GACCTTTCAAATAGTTCTGTTCAAAAATGATTTCCCAAAATGAAACCATTTCTAAACACACACAGACCTATATCCTTGTATATTTATCCAAATTTGAAATTATTGGCACCTTCAGTTGACTCTTTTGTATGCTTTTATTTGAGAAGATATTCTCTCTACAGTTGCTCAGAGGAAGTTCTGCTCAAAAGTAGAATATTCTCACTTCTCCATTTTTTTGCAATTTAAAATGTGTAAATATTTTAGCCTGGCTATTTTCACAGATGTGATTCTTTTCACTCAGAGTATTTTCTACATAAAACTTTTTTTTTTTTTAAATTCAAGCATAATGAACATACCTTGTTATATTAGTTTCAGGTATATGTTATAGTGATTCAGCAGTTCTAAACATTTCTCAGTGTTCATCAGCCAGTCTGCCCACCCACCTCTCCTCTGGCAACCACTAGTTTGTGCTCTGTATTTAAGAGTTTTTGTTTTTTGTATCTTTTCCTTTGTTCATTTGTTTTGTTACTTAAATTCCATATACGAGTGAACTCATATGGTATTTGTCTTTCTCTGACTTACTTCACTTAGCATTATGCTCTCTAGATGCAACCATGTTGCAAATGGCAAGATTTAATTTTTTATAGTTGAGTAATATTTCATTGTATCTATATCTATATATATACCATATCTTTTTAATCCAGTGGAAAAATTGGGTTGCTTCTCTATCTTGGCTTTTGTAAATAATGCTGCAGTAAACGTATGGGTGCATATATCTTTTTGAATTAGCATTTTCATATTCTTTGGGTAAATACCCAGTAGTGGAATTACTAGATCATATGGAAATTCTATTTTTAACTTTTGAGGAACCTCCATAGTGTTTCCACAGTGGCTGCGTCAGCTTGCATTCCCATCAGTGGTGTCGGAGGGTTCCTGTTTCTTCACATCCTCGCCAATACCTCTTCTTTCTTGTGTCGTTGATTTTAGCCATTCTGACAGGTGTGATGATGAGTGATGTTGAGCATCTTTTCATGTATCTGTTGGCTCTTGTTCTGTTTTCTTTGGAAAATTGTCCATTCAAATCCACTGTCCATTTTTTAATTGGATTATTTGGGGTTTTTTTGGTGTAAAATTTCTATTTTTAATTGGCTTTAGTATTTCTTCCAATTAAGCTGATGCAAAATCATAAGTCTTCTCAATTTTTTTCCACTGAAGTATATATAAATATATTTAATTTAAAATAGGAGCTCCATCAAGAGTCTTCCTATAAATCAAGATATACCCATTTAAACATTATACATTGGTTGAATTTACATCATTTAATTTTTTAGTTCCTCCTTTGCTGAGGTAAATTTCAGTGTCAACCTGTTCACATGCTTTGTTGTTGTTTTTTTAATATGAAATTTATTGTCAAATTGGTTTCCATACAACACCCAGTGCTCATCCCAACAGGTGCCCTCCTCCGTGCCCATCACCCACTTCCCCCTCCCTCCCACCCCCCCCATCAACTCTCAGTTTATTCTCATTTTTTTAAGAGTCTCTTATGGTTTGACTTCCTCCCTCTCTAACTTTTTTTTTCCCCTTCCCCTCCCCCATGGTCTTCTGTTAAGTTTCTCAGGATTCACATAACAGTGAAAACATATGGTATCTGTCTTTCTTTGTGTGACTTATTTGTTTTTAATCATTGCAATACGCTAAAAACTTTATTTCATTCCTTGAATTCATTGATTAAAGATTTTCAATGGACTTTGAACAAAACAAAAACAAAATATAGATCACTTATTATGAAAAACATTTAACACGATGTAGGACACAGGTTGATTTGCCTTGTAAATCAGCAGAAGCTTATCAAACATTTTTAAACTCCAGTTGCTGGTGGTCAGTCCAGAGAGATCGTGGTTTTTGCTTGGTTGGTTGTTGTTGTTTTTTGGTAGTGATTACATATTTTTTGTTCCGTTTCTCTGATATACATAAGTACATTTTAATATCTACCCCTTTTATTTTTGATTAGTTGAAAATTACAACATTTTGATGAAATGATGATCTGGTTGTTTTTGGCAGCTCATCACCTCACCAGTGTTATACCTTCTTCTTAGGGTTTTTTTTTTTTTAATTTTTTTATTTTTCCAAGTTGTTGGAATATAGGTAGATATCAAATTTAACATTTTAGATCATTCCTGTGAGGTGGGGTGTCAAGTATGTGAACAATCTTGTTTAGAATTTAGTGTTTTGAAAAGTGTTTAAGTGCACTTCTCCTAAGTGCATTCAAAGTTGGGACCTTTGGACAGAAAGTTTTTGTAGGTAAGAGGAAGCTGTTAGAATTCCTAGGGACTTTGTGTTTATACTTGACCACATTGTAATCCATTCACCGCACTGATGCCTAGGTAATCTTTCTTAATGGTACGCTTTATTCCTTACATATGATGTTATATTTCTTTTTTTTTTTTTTTAACGTTTATTTATTTTTGGGACAGAGAGAGACAGAGCATGAACGGGGGAGGGGCAGAGAGAGAGGGAGACACAGAATCGGAAACAGGCTCCAGGCTCCGAGCCATCAGCCCAGAGCCCGACGCGGGGCTCGAACTCACGGACCGCGGGATCATGACCTGAGCTGAAGTCGGACGCTTAACCGACTGAGCCACCCAGGCACCCCTGATGTTATATTTCTTAAAATCCTTCATGACTTTCCATTACACTCAGAATTTTTTTTTTTTTTTTAATTTAGCATGGCCTTACCAGAATTCTTGTGTAGTCTGGACTATATCTAGCCGTCGAACCTCATCCTGTATCATTCACTTCCCCTTCCTGAGCTCTAGCCACACCAGCCACCCTCCTTTTCCTCGGGGTCATTGCATTTGTTGTTTCCTCTACTGGAATTTCTCTTCTTCCAGATCTGTTCATCACTGGCTCCTTCTCCTAATGTAGGTTTCAGTGCAAATTGTGTCATTTCAGAAACCATTTCTCTGAACACTATATATAAAGAACCTTTCCTTTAACTTACCTTCTATCACTAGTACTCAGTATTCTAATTTCTGTATGAAATTATCACTATTTAAAATGGTCTTATTTAATGTAGGAGCAGAAATGTTATATGTCAGGTTCAATACTGTATCTCCCAGAGCATACTAGGCACTTAATATTTGGAAATGAATGACTGTTCTGTGTAGTTTACTGTATCCGTATTTCTTCTTTGATTCTCCCTTCCAGCTACAAAAAAAAATTTGTGGTATTTTCCTAGCATATTTTCAAAGCCAATATGAAAATAGCACCAAATAATTAAAGAACTTTATCTATTTTAATGTTTTCTGAAGACAGATAAATAATAATGGTATATTGAATTGGCGGCATACAAGTGGATGTAAAATAAGAGAAAGATTTGTATTTTTGCTTCCTCCTGAAAGTAGAAAAGACCCTGGAGAATGGTTTAGAGTTCTCATAGAAATAATCCATGAGCTCTGCTACTTGAATAATTAGCCTAGACTTCCTGTTCCAACCGTTATCAGACTAGTCCTCCCATAACAAAACCAATCATAACAGCTAAGCAAAGCAGTTTAATGGCATTGGAGCAACTAACTGAGGGAGGACTTCTAGGAGAAGGTCATATCCGTATAAATACTGGCTTTTTTTCCTGAGGACATGTTTTAAATCATTGTGCAGGCAGAGAGGCCAAGCCTCAAGGGGTGGTCATTTGGGGCAGAGGAGACTGTGCTCAGGTAGAGTTGCCAGAGTGGCTGAGGCATGAGAGACAAAATCTCAAGACAGGAAGGAATTGCAGAGAAATTTCTAGGCCCAGCAATTTATACATTTCCCTCAAATTGTTGCTTGATTCTGCAACTTTATGTGCGTGGGGGGCAAGACTCAAGGAAACTTAGAAGGAAATCGTGGTTGGAGGCTAAAGGGCAAAGAAAAAAATGTAACAGCCACATGGTACTGGGGAGAAAGATATTAGTGTTTAAGGCTGCCAAGGTAAAGGGCGCTTGTTAACACCCCAGACTTCCAGCCGCGGTCCCAGAGGGCACTCCCTAGAAATAGAGGTAAAATGGAAATAGACTCCCCTTAAGTCTGCCTGCACTCAACCTGTGTTTCAGAAGGAACTTAACCTTTAGAGAGAATATAATGTTCAAAGTGTCTGTGCTTTTTCATTTATATAGTCTAGCTTCCAGTAAATTCTAAGGCAGGCTGAAAAAAAGGCAGGAAGATACCCTAAGAATATATAAGCACAAAAAAGATGTACATAAGATTATTCACTGTCAGAGTCTTTATTAATAGCAAAATATTAGAAAAATGATGAAGGACCACCAACAGAGGATTGATTAAATTATGTTTGTGTAATATAGTGGTGTTTTACACATGTATATCAGCATTTGGGGCAGGACAGTTCTTTATTGTATGACACTGACTTAACCATTCTCAGGCACGTTACATCTTTGGCCCTAACACAATAAACGTAAATTGCACCTTCAAGGTTCGATACAACTCAGAATGCTCTCACACATTTTCATATGCCTCTGGGGTGGGGCCTTCAAATTGAAAATCATTAATATCATAGAATTTTGTACAGTTGTTTAAAAAAAAAAATGAGAAAGTTGTTGATGAACCGATTATGGAAAGACCCCTGCAGTGTATCTTAAAATGCAAGATGCAGAGGAGTATGTATACTTTGCTATATTTTGTGTAATAGAGGAGGAAATAATAGATATTTGGATTGCTTATATATGCATAGTAATACATAAGAAACTAATGCAAGTGATTATCTGTGGGGCCTGATAGGGTGAAGAGACGTGAGAGTTCAGGGATGAAATCTATTTATTTACTGTATACTTTCCTGTATTGTTTTGATTTTTAAAACATGTGGATATAGTACCTATTCAAAAAAAGTTATAAATAATAATCTGTTAGATATAAACAAGCTATTGTGTTCAATATAATAATTTCTAAAAGAATTAAAGTTTATGTACTCATTACAAAAATGTTCTGGTCTTTTTCCAATTCTGTCTCCTTTGACCTTTGCCTTCCCTCAGTGGAGTAGGGCGGAACTGGGGCTGGGCATCTGCAGGTAGCAGCATTCTTGCCGAATTTGGTACACTGCACATGGAGTTTGTCCACCTCAGCTACCTGACAGGGGACCCCGTCTACTACAAGAAGGTCAGTTTTCTCGCCGCCTTCTCTTTGTTTATCATAAAAGAGTTCTTTAAGATTTACCGAACGATCGTTGCTTGGAAAATGTTTGCCTTTCCAGGAAGGTGTATGTCAGTACTCTGGGCCCCCCCCCCCCTTTTTTTTTCTTTTTAAACTAGCTAAAGGAATGTCCATTCTCTTTACAATATTTACTGTTATTTGAGAAGTGTAACCACTAGTAGTTTTGTGAAAATTCTGTTGCCATCTCTATTCAGCATAGTGTTGCAGTGTCCCTAGCCCCAGAACAAGAAAAACAAAGTGAACAGAAAGTTAAAGAATTGAATTGAATTGAAAAGGAAGAAGGAAAAAAATAATCATTCACAGATTACATGATTATCCACCTGAAATCTTAAAATAATCTGTATTTAAACTATTAGAAATAAGAGCATATTTATAGTTTTGAATAGAAGATCAATATAGATACGAAAAATCACCAGCATTTCTCTGCACCAACTACAACAGGCAAGAAAGTATCCATGTTAACAAACACATACGTGGTAGGAACTTTACGTGATGGGAACAAGAGTGTAACTTCCTTACAAATAAGCTTAACAAAAGATAAATAAAGTTCAAAACACTTGAATGACATTGAGGAGGACCTAAATAAATGGAGAAGGATGTTCTGTTCATGTACAGCTAAACAGTATCATAAAAACTTTAGTCTTTTCCAGATTGATCTGTAGCGTTAATTCCGTGCCACTTAGAACTCCAGTGGCTTCTTTTATAAACACTTTTTTTTTTAACATTTTTTTTCAACGTTTTATTTATTTTTGGGACAGAGAGAGACAGAGCATGAACGGGGGAGGGGCAGAGAGAGAGGGAGACACAGAATCGGAAACAGGCTCCAGGCTCCGAGCCATCAGCCCAGAGCCCGACGCGGGGCTCGAACTCACGGACCGCGAGATCGTGACCTGGCTGAAGTCGGACGCTTAACTGACTGCGCCACCCAGGCGCCCCTCCAGTGGCTTCTTTTAAAAAAAATGAAACTTGACAAAATTCTTCTAGAATTTATATAGAGGAGAAATGTGGAGTGGGTTTGCATTACCCATATCGACACTCACAGGGAAGTGTTGGTGCATAAAGACAAATAGACTGATGAACAGAATAAATGTTCCTTAAATAGATCCATATATATGTGGAAACATTATGACAGGGGCAGCATTGCAGATTATAACCATTTGAGGAGCATTAAAGGCTTAAATTTAAAAGACAAATCTAGTGAAGTTGAAAATACGTATACCCTGTGACCCAGCAATTCCACTCTTTGATATGTACATTTACACCATACTATACATAGAAGAATCATTTGCATTAGCAATTTATATAATAAAATTCAGTACAGCAGTAGGAAGAATTGAATTATATTTATCAATTAAAAGAATATGATACAACCTTTTTTAAAAAGTTAAAAACAAGCAGAGCTGAATAATATGTTTTGTGTGGGGATTCAGAAGTGATGAACATAAAACTCAGAACTGTGAGTACAGCCAGGACAGAGTCCGTGCTCTGTAAATGTATAAACAGTGCAGCAAAGGTGTTTGTAGTGTTGCATTTCTTATATTGGGATGTGAGTGGGATCTGTGTATATTCCTTTCTATGTGTGAGCTGTTTTCATTGGTTGAGAAGAATTTGCAGGTGAAGACAGCAGTGAAGGAAGACACAGAATTTTTCTTTTCCTGATGAAATTAACAAAAATCTTAAAGACCGGCAAACATTTATCCATAGCAATGAAAGGAGGAGAGGCTGCAGTCTCATGTCATAAGTATGTGACAGCCAAGAAGCAGAAAGCTTGTGGCATGGTACTTAACGTCTGTTTCCCACCTTGTTCTGAACCCTTACTGGGCAAAGGAAGCACGTCATCAGATTCCTGGCACTCCCCATCAGTCCATCTCACAGAGGACACCATGCCGAGGGTGTGGGGTGTTCACTTGTCCACAGCTCCTGAGGGGTCTTGCCTCCATCTTACCTGAACACTGGGACTCCAGATCTCAAATTGTGTCCAGGAGGGGAGGAATACTCCCCTCTCACCCACCCAACACAGTAGGGATGAATTCAGAGACACTGCAGCTGTAACATATCAAACCAAAGTTCAGGTCAGAGCCGACCCTGTTAAACGTGAGCAAGACGCAGAGGGAAAACGTGGCAAGTACTATAAACATACTGCAACAGGGTAGTAACAAAACCGTGGTGGTAAATAGCATGTAAAAGACTGATAAAGAACCCACTTTCAAATTTCATGAAGTCACTGTAATTTATACTATAATAGCAAGTGAACTCAGTAAAATTATAACTCAAAAGAAATAATGATACAAAGATTGCAGAACTGAAGAAACAAATTGAGATCTTAAAACGTTATATTTCTATTATGAATAAATAAACGAAAAACAACAAAGCAGTGACTTTACGTAATTGAAAACCGATTTACTAACGTGGAAAAGCAGGAGACCATCATAGTGGAAACCAAGAAAAAGCATGAAGAGATTAAAAGCTGATAAATGTATAAAATGAAGGTAATCTAGCGTATGGTATTTCTGAAGTAGAGGATCTGACAGATAGGAATCACCTAAAAGTGACAGGAAGGAGAGAGAGAACTGCAAATTCCCTTTTTAACAGAATTAAGAGATACTTGATATTTCACACCACAAAATAGGAGAAAAGGTTGCCGTAATCAAGGGCAGAGAGGTTTGGGAAACAAGAGAGGATATTTGTGGCTGCAGATTTCAAGAATAAAAAACCAGAAGAGCACAGTTCCCTGAAATAAATGGTATATCTAGAGGTGCAGAACCGAAGTCCTCATTAGCAGCATTGAGAACAGGGTCACGGACTGATGGTGGGTACTTCTTTGGACCCTTCTACAGGCGTGTTGAGAAGCTAGGATAACAGAATTCTCAGGAAACTTCGGTGAGGGAAGAGAATGCATGACACATTTTCTTTTATGAGCAGTGCTACCGCATTGCTAGTCTCGGTTATCTGGGGAAAAGCAAAGGCGTCCGGTCTCTTCCTGGCCTTTTATGTCATCCTTGTGTAAATAGCTGGTTCAAGGAAAATAACAATGAGTAATTCATCAGGAAAGAACAAGGATAGAATTTATACAGAGGTATATTATCAGAAAAAAAGAGGGAAGGAACAGGATATATAAGAGATGCCCAAAAAATACTTCTCAGGAAATAGCAATTAAATCCTGACCGAACATCGCCATGAGAGGGAAGATAATGAAGCCCTCCTCTCTGTGAAACGAGTATATCAACAGAAATAGAGTGCTCAGAGACAGTTAAGATGTGCTATCAGTAACAAATTGCAAGAAACAGTTACCACCAAAAATGAAAGCCAAACTGGAAGCAGTACAAAGGAGGTGTTCAAAGACAATGATGGACTTAGAAGACAAAATTGAGACAAGCTAGTAAAGGTGTCGACAGTAAAAAAGAGATGGATAAAATATTCAGAAAGGAAAGGCAGCTGAAAGAGGCAGAGAGGATTCAACGTGTGCCTAATTTTCAGAAGACAAAAGAAGGTAATATTTTATTATCCCTAATGGCATCATTTCAAACTGCCTAATCGTGGTTCACGGAATTATTCAGATTGGGATTGTACATAGAGTTGGTCTCAGCCTTGAAAGAACACAGACAACACACCATCCTTGGGCCAGTTCCTAAAACCGCCTAATGACAAAGTCCAGCCAAATGAAAGATGACCGGGACATTGTCCTAACAGGATTTGTGCTGTGCTCAAGCCAGAAAATAATGAAGTATATATAAGGTTCTGTGAAGATGTTTCCCCAAGTCATGCATACTGAGCAGGTTATCCTTCAGAGGCAAAAGGAACATTCTCAAATAAGAATACAAGGAGTAGAATACATTTGTGCACTCTCAAAATCCATCCAGTGTATAGATGAATGCAGATAAAATCCCTGAGAAAGTTTCTAGCTTCTTAATATATTTTTGTGATTTCTTTCCTCCGTAGCTTTAGGGAGATCTTTCAGGAATCAAAATTTTGGGGATTTTAGGAATTTTCAGGATTTCTATTATGGGATCGATATTTAGAGTTCAGTAATTTAGTTCACTTTTTCACCTATTCAGGTTAGTTTCATACTTCTTATTATAAATGTCCTTTTATGATTCCATTTCTATGAAATTATTTCTGTTTTTATATTTAGATATGTACATATTAAATGTGTCTGGAATGATGTGTATTACTGATGTTTCTGATGGTTATTTCTGGATAGTAAAATGTTGGCATTTAAATTAGTTTTTTTCTGTGCTCTTCATATTTTCAATTGTTTCTTGAATTTTAAATAATGGTGGTATATCATCTGGTAAAAATAACGAGTCATTTATAAAGTAGAAGCCTTTCCTGACCACTACCACTACCACCACCACCACCACCACACACACAGACACACACACATACACACACACGGGAGATGGTGTAGGTTCTGAGTGAGGAAAAACCACAAAGCCTAGTTGACATTTACTTTATTAATTGTATTCTTTATTTTTGTTAAGGTCATGCATATTCGGAAACTACTTCAGAAAATGGATCGTCCAAATGGTCTTTATCCAAATTATTTGAACCCAAGAACAGGTCGCTGGGGTCAGTGTAAGTATTTCTAGTACAGCCGATGCTATGTCAAAAGGTTATTTGTCTGGAGACTTGCTTGATGTAGTGAAAAGTCCATCACACGTATGGTTGGAACCCCTCAGCTTCTAACCCTGTGATCTGCTAGTGCCGTTACCTTTGGCAAATTTCTAATCTTTTGTCGCTTCAGTTTTTCTACGTGTAAATGGAAACACTAATAACCTGTGTCACAAGCAGTATTTTACTCCATTAATGTGTAAGTACTTTGTTAAAAATAGTGCCGCCTTTGCAAAAAAAAAAAAAAAAGGGGGGGTTCCCCCTATTTATAAATCCTAGCTTCATGTAAATAAGAGCATTGCTTTGGATAGGTATTTATTAAAGGAATATGAAGAACAAACAAGGGTCTTAAATGATTAGAAAGGGGGGGCGCAGTTGCTCTTGGACAAGATTTGTCCAGTCATTTTAACAGAAGATACCAGGTCTTATTATTCAGATTCTGTGCCAAATGCTTGGATGAAACTAGAGATGAGGGATAACTATGTAGAACTTGGTCTGAGTTTAGGGAGCTCCCAGGCCAGCAGGGGAAGCAGACACACTTCAAAGTCGTTGGAGCTGGAATATAATGTGGTAAGTGTTACGGTACAGACATATACCAGTTGTGATGTGAGACTGGCAGAAGTGACTTCCTCGGTGAGGAGAAGGTATTTTGTTTGATGAGAGGGTGATGTTTTAAAGCTTTAGAATTGATCTTCGAAGGAATAGATTTTTTAAAAATAACAAATGTTGCGGCGCCTGGGTGGGTCAGTCGGTTAAGCATCCGACTTCGGCTCAGGTCATGATCTCACGGTTCGTGGGTTCGAGCCCCATGTCGGACTCTGTGCTGACAGCTTAGAGCCTGGAGCCTGCTTTGGATTCTGTGTCTCCCTCTCTCTCCGTTCCTCCCCTGCTCTCACTCTGTCTCTCTCTCAAAAATAAAGGTTTAAAAAAAATTTTTAAATAATGTTTATTTGGAAATGTGGAACTTGCAGAATTGAAATAAAATATGGGTTTACCAATGGTATTCTCTCTTGAAAGATAGAGAACGAAAACAAAGAGTAGAACGTGTTACTTTGCCCCTAGTATGACATAGTTGGGTTATTTTTGAGACTAATGAAATCATAATGAAACAGTAGAAAATGAGGTAAAAATAACAATCTCTTAATTTTATGTATGGAAAATAATGTTTAATCCATCAGTGAGAAATTATGCTGGTGTTTGCTACCAAGAGTAGGAAAACATTTGTCATGGAATCTTCGGGGCTCCTCTCAAGGAAATTGTCTTTTATTTTGTGAAAGGAAAGCACAGTGGTCAGTACAGTTGTGTCTTTCATGGATCTGGGAATAAATCTCAGTCTTTGGTTCCTCTTCTGTACTTTTCTTTTTCCTCTTCTGGAATTCTTTACATGTAGCTCATTTTTCTCTTTATTTTGAAGAAAATACAAGATCTGTGCCTCTACTGAGTGAAAATGATACTTTTTTGGAAAAAACAAAACCCCAAAGACAGCATTGCTAAAATATAAAAATGTGCTTTTCTTATTCCAGATAAGGATGACTGGTTTGGATGTCTGCTTAGTAACTTGGGTGAATTTTATGAAAATTCTAAAGTACATTTCCCTCCTAGAGTTTTATTAAGATTTGGGAATAACTCTAATATCAGGAAAAAATTATGTTCAGTTCTTTCTTTACGTCATATGCCAGTGTATATTCTATAATGTAAAGCTTAACTTGAACTGTAAAAAATAACAACATAAAAATACTAGTTTTTTTTTTTTTTTTTTTTTGTAATCGGGAAAACCTTCTACTTAAAGAAAAGGTATCAGTTTTTACTATCCAAATGTTAACCTCTTACATTTCCTAGGAAAGGCAAATAACAAGCTAAGGAAATACATTTGATTGTATTTGGAAAACAGAGTGTTCATATCTTCTGTATATCAAGAACTCTTATAAGATAATAAGAAAAAAGATAATCATCCTTAATAGAAAGATACACTGAGAAAAATTGGTTCATGAAAAAACAGAACACAAATGGACAATAAACAGATGTGCATTTTTAATCCTAAAAGTGGTGTTACTGAAGATATGTGGTATATGGAGACAATGTAATGTGACAACATCCTCTTTCTGTACAGACTGGTACTATATATATAAATTCTATATAATTTACTATATAAATTCTACTATAGTAGAATTTGCAACACTACCATCTTTGGTGTCCTATTTGTAGAGATCTTTGTCCCTCTCTTCCCGCTTCACCACCACCATAAATCAATGCAGCTTTTATTTTATTTATTTTATTGAAGTGTAGTTGACATACAATATTATACGGTTGACCTTTGAACAATGTGGAGATTAGGGGCACAGTCGGAAGTGGGAGTTTGACTCCCACCCAAAACTTAACTACCAGGAGCCTAGTAGTTGACTGAAAAGCCTTACCAATAACATAAACAGTTGATTAACACAAATTTTGTGTGTTACATTCTTAAAGTAAAAAATATCCATAAAATATTAAGGATATCACAAGGAATAGTAAATACATTTACAGTACTATACTGTATTGAAAAAAAATCTGTATGTAAATGGACCTGCACAGTTTAAACCCATGTTGTTCAAGGGTCAACTGGATTAGTTTCAGGTATACAACATAGTGATTCCCAATGCAGCTTTTAAACAGAAGACACTATTCTTAATCTATTAAATTAATAAAGGAAATGGGCATATCCCTGTATCCAGAGCTTCAAAAACTGAAAAATTTGTATGCCCTTTGAACCAGCGACTTATTTCTAGGTATTTATTCCAAAGAAATTTGGACATATACATACATATATATATTTCTATATATATGTATACACACACACACACACACACACACATATATATAAAGTTTATTTGCAATAACTTTGAAGTTATTTATCATATGAATAATTTGGAAACATTCTAAAGCAGTCTTGTCCAATAGAACTTTCTGTAATGAGAAAAATGTTCTATATCTGTGCTATCTGTATAGGTGTCACTAAATGCATATGCTGTTGAGCACTGGAAATGTTAGTACAGATGTAGAGCTGCATTTAAATTTTATTTACTTTTAGTTAATTTAAGTAAATAGCTACTTGTGACTAGTGCCTGTTGCATTGGACAGTGCAGTTTTAAACATCCTATGAAAGAGATTTAGTTAAATAAATTGTAGTACCTTCAGATATAATATACTATGCAGCCATTAAAAGTTAGGTTACAGAATACTTGGCTTAGATAAATATGTTATCTGTGTTTTTTCCTTAATGCTTGTTTTTATTTTCTTCTTTTTATCTGTATTAATCTAAATTTGATAATGGACATCTATCAGTTTTAAAGTAAGATTAAAAACGTTTTTTTAAAGCAGCTTTTGAGAAATAGCACATGTGCCATATAATTTACCCATTCAGAATATACAGTTGAATGGGTTTTAGTATTTATAACCATCCTCAACATCAACTTTAGAACATTTTCATTAACCCCCAAAGGAATCCTGTACCATTTAGCTATCACCCATCTATTTGCCTATTCCCCACTCTCCGCAGCTTTAAACAACCACTAATCTATTCTTGTGTCTCTCTAGATTTGTCTGTTCTAGACTTCTCATGTCATCCACATACTGTGTGGTTTTTTGTGATTGGCCTCTTTGATTTAGCAAAATGTTTTAAAGATTCTTCCATATTATACCTTGTATCAGTACTTGGATTTTTTAATGCCTGAATAATTCTCCCATTTTATGGATATACCACTGTTGTTTATCCATTCATCAGCTGATGACTTTGGGGTTGCTTCCACCAGGTTATTTTTCACTGTGTTCCTTTTTTTTTTATTGATTTATAGTTGACATACAATATTATATTAGTTTCAGGTATACCACATAGTGGTTCTGTGTTTTTATACATTATGAAATCATCACCTTGATAGGTCTAGTTACTGTCTCTGTACAAAGTTATTACTATATTACTGACTGTATTCCCCTATGCTATACATCATATTTCCACGACTTGTTTATTTTATAACTGGAAGTTTGTAAATCTTAATCCCCTTCACGTTTCTCCCCTTGCCCCCCCCCCCCCCACCCTTTCTGGCAACCACTAGTTCTGTGTATCTGTGAGTCACTTTTTCTTTCATTTTGTTTGTTTTTTTTAGATTCCACATATAAGTGAAATTATACAGTATTTGTTTTTCTCTGTATGACTTCTTTCACTTTGCGTAATACGCTCCAAGTCTGTCTATGTTGTCACAGACGGCAAGATCTTATTCTTTTTTGTGGCCAAGTAATAGTCCATTATATATGCACTACATCTTCTTTATTTATTCTTCTATGGATAAACACTGAGGTTGCTTCCATATCTTGGCTATTGTAAATAATGCTACAATGAACTTAGAGGTATGTACATCTTTTTGAATTAATGTTTTTGTTTTCTTTGGATAAATACCTAAAGAGGGATTGCTGGATTACATGGTAGTTCTGTTCTTAATTTTTTGAGAAACCTCCATACTGTTTTCTGTAGTGGCTGCAGCAATGTACATCCCTACCAACAATGCACAAGGGGGTCCCTTTTCTCCACATCCTTATCAGCACTTGTTATTTCTTGACTTTTTGATAATAGCCATTCTGACAGATGTAAGGTAGTATCTCATTATGGTTTTGGTTTGCATTTCCTTGATAATTAGTTATGTTGAGCATCTTTTCATGTGCCTGTTGGCCATCTTTATGTCTTCTCTAGAAAAATATCTCTTCAGGTACTCTGCACATTTTTTAATTGGGTTATTTGTTTTGTTTTTTTGTTATTGAGTTGTATGAGTTCTTTATGTATTTTGGATATCAACCCCTCACCAGGTATATCGATAGCAGATATTTTCTTCCCACTCAGTAGGTTGCCTTTTCATTTTGTTGATGGTTTCCTTCACTGTGCACAAATATTTTTTAAAACTCTTTTTGATGTTTTATTTGTTTTTGAGAGGGAGAGG